CCCTGGGGACTGGCCAGGGCTCAGACACGCTGCCTTAGCCCGGCCCATCCCGGCGGGGCCAGGGGAGGACAGCTGTCCGTCTGTCTGTGCAGTGAGAGGTGTCTGCCTGCTCGGAAACGCAGAACGTCCTCCTGGGAGGAGTGGGAACAGGAGCCAGGCCCCGGCAAGATGGAGATGAGGGCGGGACAGCCTCGTGCAGAGACCTGCTTGTCCGGCCTGCGTGCATGGGGATCAGAGGGCTCATTGTTTTTTTTTTTTGCCTTTTCTCTTTTTTTACTATTTTCTAAGAATTGGGATGCTTTCAGAGCATTTAGGAGTTAGTGAGACACCATGGGAACCTCTAAGATAACCTCCCTAGAGACTTTGATGAGAGGCTCCCTCAGCTCCTCCGTGATTCCCCCGTGGACCCCGTGGGTGGTTTTCCCTGATGTGACAGACCCTGCCGAGGTCAGGCTCGACTCTCCATCAGCCCGTCAGAGCCGCCCTTTACCCAGAGGAAAGTGGAAGGGGCTGTGCAGGACGTGTGTACCGAGGACGGAAGACCAGTAGAAGTTTGTCACATCTTCGAGTTCACGTCTAGTTTGCCAGGGGCCCCAAGCTCACCCTTAACCTCTGAGACTCTCAGCCGTCCTTGGGAAGAGCCAGCCCCTGTCCCCAGGTTCCCGAGTGTTCCCCTGCGACCGAGCGCACCCCAGCCCCCCACGCTCATGCAGCAAATGCTGTTGTGTACGGTGTGGTGGACACACAGGACCCGCGTCTATGTGGCGCCACTTCCCTATGTGTGCAGGGCGGCACTCTGAGGGCGACACGGAAACCTCATGCAGAACCCAGCAGCCCTGACAGCAGGACCAGACGCCGACTGTCCGTGGAGACAAAGGAGTCAGACGTCTTTGATGAAGGCGGACCAGTGAGGAGCTGTGACCTCAGGTGCAGAGGCGGGTGCTGGGCCCGGGACTCACCTGTCGGCAGCCGGATCAGGAGCCACGGAAACCATGTGCTTAGTAAGGGAGGGACACACCAAAGAGGACAACTTAAAAAATTCACATGCAGTTAGTACACCATCCTCTGTGGAAATGTTTAATAAATGCACAAAAACAAAGAAGATAACAAGCAAAATGTCATCACAAAATCAAATGGGAATATAATCACTGGGAGGCAATCACCACTCAAGGCGTCACAGTATTTACAGACGTGTCGCTGGTAGGACGCAGCGCGATCTCCGCATACAAGGGGATGTCAGGTCTAATTGAACTGTGGCCTATGGCAGTACAGAGGACAACTGAGGGCGTGGGGACGGCAGAGGACACAGTCAGGAGCTGGTGGCTAAGCCCGGGACACCTTTGATCAATAACTGATCAGGAAATGACACTTCAAAACGAATCCCTGGAGGAAACCTCCGAACGTTTGTATTGGGGTGCAGAAGCAAATGCACCCACCACCACATTATGCTTTCTTCTAGAAAGATCTTTTGGCAAACGGATGCACTGAGTGGCAGGGCCGTTGCCATGGAGACTCACACGGAGATTTCGTGTGGTTCCAGGTGCATCGTTGCACTCCTGTGAGCAAACACACTGCGCGGAAGGGAGTGAGTGCAGGGCCCCTGGCAGAGACCCTGGGGCCGGACACCCACGCAGGGTGATGGCACCACTGAGCCGCGTCCCACTGTGTCCTTCGTGCCTTCTCCCAGGGTGACACTCCCCACAGGGTTACAGAGTATACCACCACAATTAGGGTATCATGTTAACAATGAAGAATTAAGTTACTGTAGAACTGAAATGTGGCCAAATGAAATTAAAATGCAGTGGCAAAAAAATCAGGAAACAGAACACTGTGGTTAATAGACAAGATTGATTCGACCCCATAGCATTCAATGACAATGCTTCACACGACCCACATTCGAGGTACAGAAGTAATACTGAATAACGGAACACTTACACATGCTGCTGTGAAGGCAGAGTGAGTAGAGTAAAATAGGTAAAATCATCAGGACAGAAGCTAGCTTGGGAGCCTGTTTAGAAGTGTGCCTAGATGGAGAAATAGATCGGTGTTCCCGCGGCATCCCACCGGAAGCTGTCCAGGGTTACCTGTGTCCAGCTAGTTATTCGTAAACCTTCCTACTTAGTCCCCCTAAAGAGGGACACACTCAGTTTCCACAGCTGGGTTTCTGGGCTTTGGTCAGTGAGGCCTGAGCAGCCGCGGCCCAGCCTGGCCCAGGAGTGATGCTGGCGGTGCAGGCTCCACAGAGCAGGAGGGGAGGATGCGGCCTCGGAGAGCCACCCTTTCCAAACCCACCAGCTCACTCTGATCTCGTCCTCAATGCCCAGCACGCCTCACAGGCGCCACATCCCGGGGGCTGGGAACCTGGTGCTGAGCCAACAACAGCCCTCTCTCCCCTCTTCCAACAAAGGAGCGTGTTCTCCGTCAATGCACTTTTCACGGTGGCTCCCAAAGATTCTGCCTCCTCAAGGAATTTATAATGTCCTTTCCTTGAATGTCAAGTCCCTGCCACACAGAGAGTAGGTGTGGGGTGCATTCCCAGGACTGGGGGCAGCCCCGGCCCGGCCCGGGGGGGGGCGGTGTGCCCAGGGCAGCACGTCCCCTGTCTCTGTCCAGGCATCGCTCTGAGCCATCCTGCACAATTCCACCAGCAAACCTACTCTAGACGGGCGAGCCGAACAGCTACTTTCCCCAGACACATGCCCAGCAGAGCAGGCGGCCACCAGGCTTGCAGGCACCCATCGGTATCCTGTGAACCTCAAGTGCTTATCTCAGAAATGGTGACATGGGCTCTGTGGACAATAGCCAGGCCTTGGGATTCCCTTATGTTCAAGCTTCAAGCCAAAGGACCCTTCTGGCATATAAAGTGAGGGCTCACCTGAGTTATAGACAGAGCAAAGAAGAAACAAAACCAGAACGGAGCTCCCCAGCAGCTCACCCCACTCAAGCCCACACACTTCTGGGGCTGCTGTGGGCGTGTTGCTGGGCGTGCAGTGTATTAAGCTCACCTCTCCAGTGTTTAAAAGCAAATGAAGACTGACAATCAACAGGTGAGCTGAACAAACATTGCCAGGAGTTCTCACTCATGCTCTCCGCAAAGACCCTGCACAGGAGGCATCTACCCCGTGTCTGTCATCAGCAACCACGCGGTTCTGCGGCAAACTGATCAATGCCATAAGCATCAAAGGGCAAAAGGCTGGTCATTTTAAAGCCTTTATTCCTCAGTCAGCAGTGAACACTACGAGCACTTCCAAAAGCCTAAAGCAACTACTTAAACATTGTTTTCATTTTTAAAAGTCCTGTGTGGTGAACGTTTTCATTTTTCCGAATCCTTGGTAATCTGGCAATGCTATTTGCACAGCCAGTGCCTCCTCCTGAAACTAGAATCTTTTCTTTGAAAATATTGAAGCACATAAGAGATTTAAAGCAACAAAAGTTGTAATTCTACCTGAAGGGGAAAAAAACGTGTATGTGCTTATATATCCATTTTGTGATAAAGTCACAATGATGGAGATAAATGCTTTCACAATTTTATTTTAACTGAAACCATGACCCTGGAATGAAGCTTGTTTTATAATATATGCTCTCTGGCTATTGAATCTTTTCTGCACAGTTTAAGTAGGTTTTTCCTGCCCCTTGGAGGAGTTAAAGGTTTCGGAACCGGCGATGCTGCGTGCACGTGGGTTGCCCAGCATGACAGCGAGCCTTCCGTGGGCAGCCAGGGCTGGTGTGCTCGGAAAAGCAGCTCAGATCGAAGTTAGCATGAGAAGTGGGCCAGATGCCTGACCCTGCAGGGGAGGGAAGCCGGCCCAAAGTCAAGGCACATGGCTACAGACAGACACTGGAGGAACCGACCAGAGGTGAAGGCCATGAGCCTTTAGGTATACCAAGTGTATACCTAAAGCCATGGCAAGCGAAGATGCGACCCGTGCCTGGAACCCCAAGCACTGTCACATCGCACAACTGACACCTGTCGTCTCCAACAAGTTCATGATCGCCAACCATTTCAGCACTGTGGTCAGAGGAGACGAAAGCACGTTTTAGGAACTCCTTAACTCCAAGTAGCCCAGGGTTTTTGGGATGCTGTTCCCAGGCCGAGGGCCCTCTGCTCCACACTCGAAGTCTCTCACACTCTCCAAGGCCCTGCTGAACACGCACAGTCCCAGCCGGAAGACAAGCTGCATTTTATGGGGCCTGTGAGTGCATCCAATAAGCCGGGGGTTTTTCTGCAAACCTCTCTCCTTTCCCAATTACCCGGCCACCCAATGCCACTTGGGGATTCATGACACTCTCGCCACCGAGGACCTATTCACCACCAAGTCCGGGACACACTGTCGGAAACTGGCCCACAGGAGGGACGTTTTGCCTTGGGATACATTTTAATCTGCAGAACATTTAAATAATGAAACTTCATAGACTCTATATTCAAATGAATGGAATCACAAAATAGTACAGTTTTGATTCATAGATACACGCGCTTATCCCTCCACCCTCTTCCACTAAACAACTCAGAAGAGGGAGAAGGCTTGCTCAAGGCAGATTTACGTATCGAGCTTGCTCCAAAGACCTCAATCACATTATTGGTTGCAAAGCAACACCACGCGAGCAGCACTCAATCCAAGAAAAAATGAGCATGACCCACTGGTGAAGCCCACAGCGTGGGCAGCAGAAGCAAAATCAGCCACAAAGCCCGAGGGTAAGACACAGGAGACCTGTGGGCATGGGGCAGTGCCGCGTCCACCCCGCCCCAGGGATGCAGACCTCAGTAGGACCTTGCGTCCCCCAGCCACATCCTGAGGGCAATCCCTCGTGAGAGGAGGAGGAAGAGGGTGAGTTAAGTGGAAATCACAGGAGCAGCAGCCCTGGCCCCTCCCACGAGCCGGAAAGCATTTCCAGAAAGGACGACACCTTACACAGCCAAGAGCATCGCCTCTGTGGCTCAGGGCGCCGCGGACTCCCTCCTTTCCATTTACACTAAAGGCTCCTCACTCCTCAGAGCTCACCTTGCCCGAGCCCCGCTTGGGCACACCCCTGTCACCTCCAAAGAAGCGCCCCAGGGAGTCGAAGAAGCCCGTGTCTCTGTGCTTCGGGAGGAAGGCGTGCTTGGCGTGGTCCATGGTGCTGGCGGAGGCCAGGTACTTGGATCCGTGCCTCTGGGAGGGTCTTTTCTGTGACGCCATCGCATCCAGGCCCTCGGGAGCGGCTGCACTGTCCTCTTGGATGGTCTGGAGCTCGTCTGACTCTGAGGGCCTGTCTTTGAAGGTGTTGTCCTCCCTCCCCGGGGCATCTCGGGAGAAGAGGCGGATCAAGTGGGGGCGGCCGCCAGGGTCAGCTGGGTTGGCGTCCGGCCAGGCATTCTTCGGGTCCGCTGTGCGCTTGGAGTCTGTCACCGCTGTGTCCCGAGAGCAGGGCCCATTGTTCTGGCCCACATCTGCCTCTCCTGCAAACAACAGTGAGATGTGAATGAGGGCCGTGCAGAGCCGCGGGACAATGCCGCTTTCTTCCCCGATGCTCCGTGGGTCTCCTACAAAACCCACAGAGAGCCCTCGGCCATGGAGCCGTGGCAGCCAATCTGCCTGGGCACCAGCCTGGGCCGGGCAGCCTGGCTGCGGTTCTGTGCCCCAGGGGCCCGGGAACGGCCAGCCACTCCAGATTTGGGGCCCTACCTGAGGTGCAGGGGGCTTCCTGGCGGAGCGGCCGAGCACAGAGCGATCCTGGCAAAGGTCCCCTTGGGAGCTGCCCCTGCTCCATTTCGAGAACCTAGGATGGTGGGCACCTCTGTGGGACATATACGCTCAAAAAGCCCCTGGGGCATAAGCGAACATGTTGGGAGCATTTATTTGACAAAAGGTATTTTCAGTGTTCTTGGTGAAAAGGGAGCTTCCCACCGCTTTCTGCAATTCCCGCCTTAGAGAAACAGGCATTTAGAATTCCTGCCCAGAATCCACCGGACGCCCAACGTGAAATGCTCAGTCAGGACATTGTGTTCCGGCTTCTCCAATGGGAGCAGCAACAGTGCAAACGTCCGCGGGGAAATGGGGCATTTCACGCCGTGTCTCAGTTCATTGCTTTTTACAAAAAATACAGTGTTTCTCCCAAGAATGACAATACAGCCGTTTTGCTCTCAAGTTATGTTAGGTTTAAATGAGCGAATATGAGTTTCTTGTGAGCTTTATTACTCATCTACAGAGATGTGGTTTACTCACACTTTCCTGTAATACCACCCATTCACCTGACTGTCCGACAATCTGTTCACTGACATTACCCAACACATCTGTCCAGCCCCTCGGTGGTGGTTAGCCACCCCACCTATCCACCCA